GAGAGCTTCTTTCTCATCTTTGAGTTTCTGTTTCACTAGGTCGATAATAGATCAGCGAGACGATCGTGGCAAGTACAAAGTTCGGATATAGATCTAGGTTCCTTCTTTCACTTGGCATTACGTATTCCATGCTCGCGTTACAAATACGAGACACTCCTCGGTTTAATGACAGAAGCAGATCTTATATTTAGTAGGTGCGATCTATCGGCGTCGCTGAACTAGAACTGTCGGAGCAACGCAATCGGCTGAAATACTGCAGAAGCAAGAACAGTATAGTAATAGGGAATATTTAGGTGGAACGTGTGCGACTGTACACGTGTGCATCAGACATAGAAGCGAGCGGGGAATATCTATTACGTAACGGAGCCTAAACGTTCGCGTCGACGCTAATTTATGATTCTTCGTCGAACCGTCGTTGCGATGTGCGTTATGGAAACCAGAATATATTTCGATCGCAACGAAAGACTTATGCCGATCGATCCTAGACCCGGCAGCGTATTTATATTTTATCTATAAATTGATAATAACCTCGTGACAACCGACCAAATCGACCTTCTTATCCAATATGAAACTACCGTTTCACTAGAAACAAACCTATACGTATTGTATTGTATAACTCAATTCATCTGAAATTAAATATTTGTCTTCTTTGAAACCTATCTCTCTATTTATCATTACATGAGTTTTGAAACCTTTTTTTCTTAAGTTACGGTATATATGCTTTCCCAACGAATATGGTAGTACGGTAATATTTAAAAGTTACTTCCTCTTGAGCCGAGTTTTACTTTTTTAAAAACTTTGACTGTTTAAAGAATAAAAGAATTGATGTGCTGATATGCAAACGCAAAAGGAATTGAATGATATAATCATATTCGCTCTTAATATTCTGAAAATTACAATTCTGTCGTTGAGTCTTGTTGAATATACATATATCGCGCGAAATTGTTAAATGCAAACGTACAAATGAGATTTCTGCATTGCAACAGGTGCAAATACCAGGGTCATATTAAGACCTCAAGCTATTCAAACCGCGATGTATTAAAAGCTTAAGACCTGCATACACCGCGAATGTCAGGCCAATGAAAATTAAGCCGATAGCGCACCGACGCCAAGTCCTCGTAATCCCAAGATACAAGCACATTCGGAATAAGACTCGGTGAGAAGGAAGAAAGTATTCGCTTCGAGAACTTGCTGTCTAATAATGATACAAGGTATACACAAGGATCATTCATCGTTCTAAGAAATTGGCGCATACGTTTGTAGAACTATTTATCGAGCTATTTATTTACGAAATCAATCTTGATAGTAATTATAACAGACAACCGCGTGTCATTCAGAGCATTAACCATGTAACGAAGATTAATTATGCTCTAGCAGTCACGGCATCACGCGATGCACGCATGAAAATTGTGCACGACAAAATGTCTAGAGTGGAATCCGGTCCCCATTGAAATCAGATCGTGCGAAAGAGGTCGTTAAAATTTTAAGTGCGCGGAGACACGCAGCCGAAAGATGTTAAACACGTCATCATTTTTACGATTGTTTTTACGATTGTTCAACGAAGACTGCGATTTCCTCATGTTCGCAAATGCGAGCCGAATATCAAAGCAGAAGAAATCGCTGCTATCTGTCTCTGGCGCAATCGACCGACCGAAAGTAAAAGCGACCGCACTTGCTCCTCACGATTTATACCGCGCTCCCGCCGTAATTTACGATTCTTTTTCGTTTCTTCTCTGGCGAGAAGAAAGAAGGTTACGGAGTTTATGATATGTTTATCGAGATAAAGATATGACAAATATAACAGACTCCAAAAACAATATTAGATAAAAAAGAATGGTATCTTGGATATCATTGGATTAGAATGATATCTTGGATATTGAAAAGTTAATAATATAGGCTCTTTTGAAAATCTCTGATTAAAATAAAGTTCGGTGACACTCCGTACATCAAAAATAACCGTGTATTTGCCGCAGCCGACAATATTTCGTTCCACGTTGTGATGTTCCAGAGATATTAGATATCTCGCAGTATTGACGGTACCAAGCATCCATAATTAGGGATACGTTACGGACTCGAGTTCAACATTATGGGTACTAGTACTCACTCAGTGACACACTACACACACTCAGAAACATTTCTAAATTTGCATCTCGCAATTCCTATCTGTTGCATCATTCGACATTTGTATTTTTGTAACAACTTTGACGTTGACTATATCGAACTCAGGCTAAGGATCGAGTGCCATTTTTACTGACAAGAAGAAGCAGAAGATCAGGGATACACGCCGATAAATGCATCGCGCAAATTACCGCAGGTGAGTATCTGACTAAAAGCACTTTGTCCTCCGGCTGCGAATGTCGCGGATATATATTTTGTTCCACGAAATGTACGTCTGATCCATTATTCAAAATGAAGAGAGCTACTGCCAGACCAGCTGGCGAATGGCATTGCAGCCGTTTCGACAAGTTCAAATATTAATCCACTAATACTTTTTCGAAACTTCGGCTACTTAATAGCATTGCATCTACGTACGCATCGAGACTCGCCGATGATGCCGAAAGCAAGATCTATGGGAGAATCACGATAATATTGAAAAACCTAGCAAGGATACCACTAAAATATTATTTAAAATTATTGAAACCCATTATTGATTCCTAATTTAAAGTTACATATTACTGTCATATTTCTTTCTAATTATATCAATGGTTATATTATAAAATCATATTATATCTATCACTCTATCTATAATTAAAATTATATAACCATATAAGAAGAAATTGTTATTTATTCAAGCGTAACGAGCTTAGCGCGAATAAATACGCGTACGTAAATAGCTGGAACTTGCGTTGTACTCCGAGAGCCGGTTTTTTCCTCGTATCCCACAAATAGCCCGAACTCGTTTGATTTCTGAGAAGTTCGCGCACGCGAGACGGTTTAATCAACGTCAGAGAGAAAAATCGCGAATTGGAAAACTCACGGATTAACGAGTTGAACGTTCAAACGTTAGTCGAGAACATTGGTCGTGACACCCGGTATACGCGAGTTCCTTCACGGCGCGAAGCATGGCGGATCAAAGAATCAATTTAAAGGCGGTCGCTCGGTGCCGTGTATGTGTACATACATCATCACCAAAAACAATTTCGCCTTATTAAGAGCCCGAGGATTGTAAAGCTGACGACTTAACGAGCCATGGTTCGTTCCTCGTATACGCGCTATGTACCGGGTACTACGCGCGCAACGACAATATATTATATTGCTTTCAGCATGCGACGTAAAAAAGTTAAAAAGAAAAAGCTTGCAGCAATATGCAGTCTTATATGCATCTTACGCACATTGATGATTTTTATAACATCGACGAAAGCCGCGCGCACAGATTAACTCGCGACAAAAATTTTCGCGTCGACGGTAAATTAAGAAGAACGCGACGCAAAGGTCTCTCTCGCGGCTTGTGTTTGGCGTTAAAGTTTGCTGACTCCAAGTTTTGCACAGAATATTACATTGTACATACGCTGCGGTGGTGCTGGTAAAGACTTGAAGCTAGATTTAGCGGAAAATTTCTCCACATTCACGACGGAATGCGTTTGACGTTATAAGAAAGAAAGAAAGAGAAGTAATTTTCGAGCATTAATATTAATATTCTATTATTACTAACTTGGCCATATTTTGCCAAAGTTAAAAATTAAAAATAATAATTTCCTGATCTAATAATTTCAAAATTTTAATATACTTACTTCATTGTCAAAAAGTAAGCATTTCTTAATTAAAATGCGCAATGTTAAAAATATGAAATATAGCAACATTGAAAAAATAATGTCAGACATAATTTTTATAATAAGTAAATTATATTATAGTGTATTGCACGTATACCAAAAAAATTACATCTTAACTGTAAACGTTTTTTCTTAAAAATGATTAAAAAATTAGTATATAGATATTCGCTTGATATTTGACGCTAAAAATAGCTTGTGTTCGGCCCTACAAAAATAATACGTTGTGCACACGGCGTGTTGTCACCGAAAGTACGTAATCGGAAAGCTACGGAGCGCTAAATTCGTGGTGAGAATACGAGCCGATGAAGTCTTCCAGAGACCTGAGAGACCTACTTTCGAAGTTTCCTCTCGTTGGTCGTTTGTGGATCTGCTTTGCGACGCAAATCAGATCGATTTGCAGACCTAGCCGGCAATTAGCACCGCGTGCGTGCCGTGAATCCCACTTTGGTGTTGCAGTGTCATGAAACGTGCTACCGGCTTCGTGCTAAGTGCACGCGCGGGTCCTTCGCGTTTGCGGATTCTTTTAAGAACGCGTAAGAAGAAGAGAAAAGGAAGACCGATGCGCCTCGTTCAACGACGAAGAGCAATCGCGGATAATCGGTTGGGGACATAATGAATAAGTGGAAGTCTCACCGAGAAATTATTCACATCGCACGTTTCGCGAGATTACGCAAGAATCGACAATGTCGGAGAATATCCGTGATTAATTATTAAACGAATGAGAGAGTAAAGTTGCCGCTCGGCGACGCGGGATAACCGATGGATTACATAAGACCAGTTAGCGTTAATCGAAAACGTCGTACGTAGATTGGATAAAATGAACAGGAATGACTTAGAAAAATAACTTTCATCGCAATGTCGCGAGGCGTCTCGACGTGCACAGCTGTGCCATTGATCAAACCTTGTACATTCCGAAATCGAAAAAAGCCATTTCTATTAAAATATTAATCCAATGTGAAATCTATCTTTTTTCATATACTATCCTATTTTCATCTCTCACCTTTTCTCTTTCTAGAACCTTAAATAATTCAAACTAATTTTCTAACTTTTATGCAAATATTTTTATAATTCTTATCGCGCATCCCTTTCCGGGTGAGAAAGGAATTGGATATTTTCGGCAAAATATTTTGTATCTCACAATCAAATATCTGGTTTCTCGCATATTACGATTTGAGAAACACTGACTGCGTTATCCGCACGATCAACTCGCATACTACACACCACACGTACCTCGGAGTTGCTAGTGGCGACGCTGGACAGACCCGGGGACATGGTGCCGGTGGTGGTAGGGTCTGGGCTCGCCGAGACCACCGTGGGGTTACCCGGGTGATGCGGCAGTAGCGCGGGGGCGTGCGGATACGAGGCGAGATGAGGATGCTGCGGCTTCGGGTGATGCAGCTGCGGGCCGGGCGGTGCACTTTGCACCACCATTGGGACGGGTGGCGGCCCGGTGTCAACCGGCGTCCTGCCGCCTCCCTCGCTACCGGCGCTACCGCTGACGACCGCATTGCCGGCACCGGCGCCCTCACCGCCGCGAAATGACTCGTGCAGGTATTGGCGCACCTGGTTCTTCTGCTTTTGCACGACGTGATAGCGAGTCGGATTTTCCAACAGCGTGCGCACCTAAAGAAAATCAGCATATCGCGATGCGTTAAAAAAAATTAACTAATAAATTAAAGATTCACAAAAACGCATTTATCATCAGTTGCTAATAAGAAAAAAATTGAATGTAAAAATTATTCTCAATTACTCTACAAGATTCTGCTATTCTAATTCTACAATTTTAAAGATCGCTATATCTCATGTAAAAATTGTGTGACGAGAACATTACAGCTGCGTTCGATCTTTTGCAAACGCAGCAACCATATTGCGTAGAGCTAATTGCAAGGTAAACCATTTCTCACCGACTAACCATTACTTTGGGAGGTCTAACAGTATAGACACGGTGTACCGAATAGATCTATTAACGACGCTACAGAATTCGGCTCGCCTTGCTACGATACGGCAAACTACCGGAACCTCGGAACTATAAGGTATCGTTATCTTAGCCGCGCCCACCCTCCTGTATATCTATATGCACGGAGCTTTAAGCGACGGAAACGCAAACAACGGTAACCGAATGCTTGACCCTATGCTACTTGGATAACAAGACTCTATCTGGGAAAACCCAAGCGCGTTGGACTTGGGATACTTCGGTACTTACGCCAAGTTCTAGTTTCAACGAACGCCCCAGTTTTGATACAAAACATCAAATACAAGGAAAATCAAGGGAAGAAGATAAGAAAGTCGGCAAAAGATCGAAGTATATTCAATTGTACTTTATCAAAGTACATAATATTTAATTTATATCCTATATATATATATATATATATATATAAAATAAATTAATAATTAATATGGAATATGTATACAACAATATGCATATAGAATACACAACGCAACGCTGTATATCGCATAATAAATTGCTCGTGCGAAGAGAACGCGTAATCACGCGATTCATAATGGACCATAATGTAATAAAGTTAGAAATTTAATTTAATATAATAATGTGATATTGCACAACGCAAAATAATTTTATCATGTTGCACGATTCGAGTTTTGCGCGAGCAATTTAGCATCGATCGCACAGATCGGACGATGTACGAAGGCGACACATACTTGTAATACTTGCGGTGGAACATCCACGCCGATAGTGGGCAACGGCGTAGGCGGCACTGGTCTGGGCGGTGCGGCAGCTGGCCTCTGCTGCTGCAAGCTCTGCCGGAATTCCGCCTGTCGCCTCTCTTGCTCCTGCAGCTGCTCTCGCATCAGCTGCAGCTTCAATTGCGTGCGCGACGTCGGCGTCGCTGTTTTGAACGTCGGCGGACTGAAAAAAGCCAATATTTCCTTCACGTAAGACTTTATCCAAGATTTCTCGCTCTGGCGTACTTTCGCCATTTATTATAACCGCGCTAACTCTCTAGCACATAAAAGCAATCTGTATCTTCGAGGAGATAACAATCATCACTTTAATCTGTTAAGTTCAAAGTTTCTTTTCAAACCATCAGAAATTAAATTAATGTAATTCAATTAATTCTCGTTTAATAATAAAATTAAACTATGTAAATTAACTTTAACAAATGTATCTCTACAAAAATATCGCGGTAGAAGATTGCTAAGTTACGAGTAATATATAATTAACGTAGGATGTATTGGAATATTATAAAGAGCATTTTTAATACTAAAGATATAAAAGCATTTTCTTACTATTTGACAAAGTGCTATTATAATTTATGTAAATTTTAGCAACATCTAACGCAAACGTACTTGTCAATAAAACAAGCCCGTTATTGTTTTAAGTTCTTTCTATCGAAGCAAGCTGGCAAATTATATCGAGTCGGTCGGAATAAGACTCAATCATTTACAACGCTGCGCGTTTGTGTCGATAAACGCGAGAATAATATTCAACGTTGTCAGCTGAGCATCGAGTCCCAAGTCCGAGGCGAGACCAATTAATCTCATAGCGCAAACACTATTGAATCGAACTATCTCCGCGGCGACGGGAAGAAACCCCGTAAAGCCAATCGGCACAATTCGCTACGGTCAACTAGATAAGTCATTAATGAACAGACGCGACAGACAATAAGCATTGCTCGTAATTCACGATACGTCATATTATTTTAAACATTAATCTGTAAAATTGTTGGAAAAAATATTGTTAAAAATCCGACGAATTTTACACTTTGTAACGCATTTTAGTTAAATAACAAGTTTCAAATATGTTTCAAATACGTATACACTCTAAATAAAGCAAGCAAAATAAAATAAAATATTATTAATGCAAGTTCTCCAACAACATAACAAATTACAATATTAATGTAACAATTACATAAAATAAATGAATATTTTAAAGGAGATAGAAACAAAAAATTATAAATCCAATGTGTATCGAATATAAATATTTGGCTGCCTGTCACGTTGGCTAAAAGATACTTCTTGAAGTTGATTCGTTCAGACAACTAGACAGGGACATTTTTTATTAATTTCCCGACTGCCCTATCAAATAGCGTTAGAGAATTAATGGTGTCATAATTCGGACGTAAAGTCGAGTGATGGTATTACCTAGTCTTGGCAGCGTTGCTACTATTCGACGATATTCGCGTATAAAAACGCGCGGAATCTCTCGAATTCGCGAATAGCAAAACAGCCATATACATATATAGTATAAAACGCATAATTTATTGCGAATTGGAAGCCAATAAAATAAAAGCAGAATTTTCTTTGAACTCGAGCAAATGCCTCGGAAGTCGCGAGCAGAATTTCGCAAGCACATAAAACGAATAGTCGCATATTTCGCCTACATTTTGATTGATATCGGCGCGAATCAAATTTCTCATCACGTACTATTAGCATTAAGAGCAAATATGTCAAAGAAACGCATGCCAGGCGTTCGTTTTACTGTCGCGGCTAAAAGACATTTCCAATTCGGGAACAAAGCCAAGATCTGGCCATAAGAAAGCCAAAATAGAGAGAGATTGTGCAATCCGGATCGAACATTAGTTTCTGTCATTTAAAGTGATCTTTCTTTCTCAATGTATCGCATTTATCAATATCATAAGTATAACATAGGTATATGTGTCCAAGATGATAATTGATAAAAAAAAAAAAATAAAATTGATCAATAAAACCAACTAATTTTGCGATTGTTAATTTACTCGCGGGATATCATATAGCCTAATATATGTAATTATAATTATTCAATTAATTAGAAAAAGTGCTATTTTCTACTAATTAAAAAACTCAATGGCGCCTCAATGGTTAAAAGTAGAAATTTATTATGTGAAAAGATTTCACGTTAAATTTTAGGAGAGCAGTCACACAGATTTCTTACATTGCCATTGAATAAGAATTAGAATAAATACTGCATCGATAACGGAACTTTAGAAATAAATGCTTAAGATAGCTAAATGATCAAACTTTGAATTCGAGATTCGATCTTGCAGCCAATAGAGAAACAGAAGACCCGTCTACAAAGGAGAAGAAGACACTGAATATTCGACCAAGTCTTAAACTCAAAAGCCGTGTCGTCTTTGTGCGATTACGAAATTAAAAATTCTTCCGTTTCCAGTCGCGCTACGAGAACTGCCGTAATAAAGCTGTTACAACTTTTATAATAGTAGTACCGGCTGACTCGTGAAAGGCGATTTAATCAGAACATCGACTTTCCCGGAGACCATTAAAATGTCTTACGAATTTTTCTATCGCCTAAGAGACGGACTCGCTTTTCTCTCGTAACATTCTTGTTTTTAAAAGCTCCGACCTTTTCATCAACATGTTTATGGAATTTTGTTAAAATTAATTAAAATTATAATTTAAGATTTTTTCCTCGCAGTATCATTAAACTGTTATATTACGCGATACAAATATTACGGAAAAGATGTATACTTCTACATTCATTTTCATTAAATTTATAATGAAATGTCAAAGAAATTTGATTAAACCAATGTTATTTTTATATTGCTACTAATTAAATTCCTTATTATATATTTCGGTATAAATATCGAATAAGCAGTCAATATATATTTATAATTATATGGATTTAAAGAAATAAACGCAAGAGGAATCATGATGGAAAGTAAGAATCGGGTATTATCAATGTTGGCTGAGTTCGCCAGAAAACTCACGACCGATTAAGAAACGGAACGAAAATACCCTGATGGAAGATTGGAAAAGTTTCTGATGAAAAATTTTCTGCGGGTAAAAGGTCGAAGTTGAAATGGAATTGGATACTTTCGTTCCTTTCGGATAATCGTTGTATTGATATTTGGTGGAAAAGTCGAGTGCCCACGATCTCGATAGTGCGTACTTTTGATTACAGCTGTTCGTATTATTGTTTTAACGCTGCTATATCGAATTTCGTTTGCTCGTTACGCCAATCATTAGAAAATTTGATACCTAAACGTAACCTGCTATTAAAAATCGATATAGCTAAATTGCTCTTGTTAAAACCTAATTAAATGCATCTTTAGTAGGAATTTAATTATTTTCGAATGTCGCGGAAAACTTTCGCAATCACAGAGAGATAAAACATAAATTGTTCATTGAAATTTTATTATAATTAACAAAATTCAATAGAATGAAAAAGTAAACATTTAAATATTATATTTTCGTCAACCATCATCATTAATTGAATTTTTTGTTATTTAATTAATAAGAAATCTGATTATGTTCTACTATAATAATCATTAATTAATTACCTCGAAACTAAAATGATAATAGCAGTAATAGCAAATGTACTTGCCATAGTTGGAAGCTGTTTGATGTATTTCATTGTATAATTCTCGTTATCGTACAGAAACGGTGCAATCATATCGATTCTAAATGCGTTTGCGAAAGGTCTTGCGGCAAGCTTGACTTTTTATAAACAGTCGGCGGATCGAAGGTGGCCACGGCGCACTCGTATATTTCTCTTCGCGATATTGGATATTGGACGGCCGAAAATAATTTTCGACCGTACGTTGGATACCATTAATTCTCCAAGGTCACGTACGACTCTGCTCGAGCAATACCCGTGCATGCGAGTTTCTCTTCCCGTATCTACGGTATCGCACTTTTTGCCGCCGGGCTTTTATACATGTCCCGCTTAAAGAGGCGAAGAGGGGAACGACCGTAATACTGAATTTAGTGCTTATATAAAGAGCGACGGAGGATCGCTTATGGCAGCTTCATGCAAATGCACGCGAACCCTCTCCGATCCTCCTTCTTACTCACTGTCTCTCTATATGCGGCGCCGGTACGTAAAGAGAGATTCCTGCAAGAGAATCCTGGAGAAAGGATTCTCTTGTCAGTAACGAGTATAGTAAACGCGATGCCCCTTTCCCTACATATATGTAGTCACGAAAATAATTAAAAAATATTTAATCGAATTAAAGATACGTCAACATAATTATATTTTGAAGTTAAAAACTTCAATATTAAATTAGATATAAAAAATGTTATTATAAAATATAAAATAATTCCTAACATAGCGAGAATATTGTAAAGATAGGTATTAGAAAATATATAACTTTTATAGAAAATAAAAATTTGTCACTACTATAGTAAGCTAAAATAAAATATAAATTCCTTTATATCATAATTGTATATTTCTAAATTTGTTACGCATCGATATTTATCTAATAATTTATTCATTTGTTAAATCTCAAGCATTGTAACACCACGTAAGAAACTCGGCATTGGGGATGATCCTCGAGCAAGAATCACCGAGCAGATATTACAGAACGTAGAAGGTAGGAGACTAGTGGTATTAATGTCATTAGTCTTGAAGAAAATCGGTGGCTCGCCGTCGCCAAAGTTTTATCTTCATTCCCGCGGAATGAATTAAGTGAGAAAATATAGCCGCTCGCTCCACTGGCAGGCGGCCGATATAAATCGCGATAATATGGAAAGCAGCTTCTTTGTCGGATTAATGTATACTCTCGACTAAGACGTCGGCTTCGGTCGAACGAGGCCGTACGTGCGCGGAATTTCATCGCCAAAGCGGAGATTATCGTCGTGGGTGGGCTCTCGATCGTGAAATTCGAACAGTCATTTACTTCGATATTAGATATTCTCTAGGGAGAACAAATTAACCCTGTGTGTAGAGTGCATAAGTGAATTTATAGCAAAATCAAACTATAACGAGTAAATCAACGTAATGTACATACACGCGTGAAGTTCTATATGAATCGAATTTTTTTTAATAATATTTTCTTTTCAATATTACTATTCTATGGGATCGATTCATTCTGTAATATTTATATAAATAATTTTCCAACACGTTAACATATTGATTTATCAAATTAATTTTTGTCATAAAGAAGCTGTAAATAAATTTGAAACAATGGC